GCACTGCCATGGAAAGCTTCCAGTGTCATATTCAACCACGGAAAATTTTTAATACTGCCTTCCTTGTTGGAGGTCAGACAGATGTAGAGACTACAACCGTTCGCTTTCTTATGCTGGCCTGTGTTGCATGATATGGTATGATACAACCACCTATCCATCTATCTATATACATACCATATGTTTTTTTTTTTTTTTTTTTTCCAGACTCCCTTCCTTTATATGCAGGGGAGCTTAGAAAAAGAATCTCTTTAGAAGAATGAAGGGCTAGATCTTCAATACCTTTCTTAAGCCATTTGATTAAGCCGTTTTTGAGAGGGAGGGCTCATTCTTCTCACAACAGAAATTACACTTTTCCACTCCTACTCGTTTTTCTGGGAACACTCTATGTTTCTGGAGGCGATATGAAAAAAAGATGCCCAGAGGAATTCTTCCTGCATGATTCCCCTAGACAGATCCACACAATTATTTCCATGAACTTCCTATATAACTTTAAAAGCCTGAGTAAGAATACATTAATAATAAACTTGTACAACGTCCTTTTGCTTAACAGGTGACAGAAAAGATCTGACTGAGAGGGGTAAAAGCATGAACAGAGCAAATATCTCCTCTGCTTCCTACTGTTAAAAATCTTTTTTGTGCCTGCAACTACCCTGATTATTTTTCAGTGACATGAACTCCCAGAGGTCACAAGTTGCTATTTTAGAAGAAATAACACTGAGAGAACTGGGTTTCCTGAGAACTGGTATATCGCTTAAGTGCCACTGGACTTTCAACTGCGCCAGGGAGAATTCCAAAGTAAAACTGATTTGGATGGACTCACCCCATGTTCGCATGTTTGTAAACAGTGCAGAAGGTAACGGCAGGAATTGGCTCTGTTTTGAGCAGCGTCAGTGGGTTGCACCACACATACGAATGGGTGTTATTATAAAGTCTTCCAGAACATTAGCTAGAAAACAGTGTGCAGAAGCAGTCGCATACACAGGCTTTACCATAGGGAAAGCTGGATGAGTAACCTACCAGGTAGCTCAACTCACCAAACCAAGTAAGGCTGCTTTCCAAGAAAGAACATTTTCAAAATGAATGGAAAACAGTCCACAAACAGCCAGGCCTCCACGCAACTCAACTGCTTCTATTTCAGAACGTAGATTTTCCTACAGAGAGGTGTGGGAAGTGTTTACAGTAATAAAAAGCCAATAGCAGATAGAACACACAATATCCCCAGTGTAAATGTTTATTCTGAAAGATAAGCCTGGCTTTGTTGGCAGGTTAAACGCTATCAAAAGGAGCAGCCCCACAAGCTGGGCGATGCTAGAGACCAAATAACCAGATTCTGCTTGGCCTTCCATCCCGCCTGCAGGAAACACCTCCATACAGCTCCAAAAAGATTGGGACTTATTTTTTTTTCTAGTTTATACTACATCTCTTAGTGCCCGCACTTAAGCAAACACATATGTTTTAATATGAAATAGGAGCAAAGGAGGCATTTACTACCATATTAGCAAACTGTTTTGTGCAAAC